CCCCATTGGCCGGCTCTCGCAGGCTCCGCCCACCAGTCTGGCCATACCCCTGCCCTGATTGGCCGCCTAGACCCATAGGAGGCGCCCTGCCCTCTTCCCGCAGGTTCATCCGTGGCCCTCCGGTGCCGCTCAGGACCCAGGAGCGTGACATTCAGGGTCCGCTGCGACTGTGACCAAGCCTCACTGCCCCTCGCCTGCCCCGTGTCATACCCCCACCCCTCACGTAGGATTCTGCCACACGCGGTCCGGTCACAACAGTCCCCTACACTGTTTACCTGCCTCATGCTCTCCCTAACGGTACAAGTCTTTTCTGGACTCTCGGTAAACATCCTCCCCTTCAGTGCCTCAGTTTCCCAATCTGTACGAGGGAGGGTGTGGAAGAGTCTTCCGGCTCTGCCCATGGGCTGAAGTGATGGCTGCTAGAGGGGTGCAGCTCTACGTGCTGTGATTCTTGAGGCCGAGATCTTGGGAGGGTCTGATTTTAAAGAGGCCAAGATGCCCTGATCCTTCAGACCCATCCTCAGACCTCTGAGGAGGCCCGATGACATTCATTCAATCAACAGTTACTGAGAGGCTACAACATGCTCTGGTGCTCTCCTAGGCCCCAGGGCTACATCAGGGAACAAACCAGATAAAGTTCATTTTCTCATAAAATTACTTTTTTAGTGGGGGAGCAGACATTAAACAAACGAATGGCTATGAAGAAAAATGAAACAGGAAAGGGAGGCCGATGAGGGACTACTTTAGCACAGTGTGAAGGGGAAAGGTGGGCTGAGTGGAGACGTGTTGGAAGAGCTTTCCAAGCCGAGGGAACAGCAAGTGCAAAGGTCCTGAGGCAGCCCTGTGCTTGATGAGTTTAAACAAGGAGCCCATTGTGGCTGGAGGAGACAGGGTGGTGGAGGGTGGGAGGAGATGAGGATTCAGAACCAGCCAGGGGTCACCAATACTAATATTTTTAACATTCCAAACCTGTGATCCTTTAAGACAGTTTTTTTCCTTTTTTTGTGGTGGCTGGTTGGTAAGGGCATCTGAACCCTAGACCTTGGTGTTACAACACTGCACTCTAACCAACTGAGCAACCGGCCAGCCCCCTAAAAGAATTTTTTAACGAGTGTTTTTTATTGAATATTTAATTTACGACTGTCTCATGGTAAAGCATTCATGCTCCGTCAGACATGCTCCCTTCCCACCCCTGACCCCACCAGGCTTCAGGTTCTCTTCCCTAGATACAACCCTCATAAGAAATTTCTTGTATCTCTTTCCAGATATATTCTATTTTTATATAAGCACATATATGTAATTATTGAGCTTCCTATAAAAAATACACATACCTATACTTATTACTCTGCTGTCCTTGCTTACTTTCCAAAAACTTATGAGATTGTGGCTTCCAACTTCCCAAGTTTATTGGTTTATTCCACAAGTATTTCCTGAATGCTTTCTGTGCACATTGTACCAGTGCTGGTGATAGAGGGGACAGGTCCCTGCCTTCCTGGGGCTCATGTTTTGATGGAGGGAGACAGAATAAATAAACTGTCATGTAAATAAAATAATGAGTTGGGATAAATGTTGTGAACAAAACAATAAAGGTGAAGATAGAAAATAATTGGATGGTGGTGGGCGGGGCACCTGCTTCCCATAGGACAGTCTCTGTGAGGAGGAGACTTGTAAAGCATGCTAAAAAAAAGGGAGCCAATTGTGGGGAGACTGAGGCAGAATTCCAGACAGAACAAGGGGCACGTGCAAAGGTCCTGGGGTGGGAAAAAGGTTGACATGCTGGTCAAACGAGGAAGGCAGGTGAGGAAGCTGGAGCAGTAAGTGAGGGGGAGAGAGAAAATTCTGGATGATTCGGCAGGAGCCAAATCATGTGGGACAGCAGTGCTTAAATCTTTTGGTCTCAGGCCTCTTTTATATTCTTAAAAATCAGGCTGGTTGGTTAGCTCAATTGGTTAGAGCATGGCCTTGTAACAGTAGAGTGTAAGGGGTCAGTTCCCTGTACTGGCCAGGTACCAAGGAAAAAAATGATCAAAGACTCCAAAGAGCTTGCGTGTACACGGATTGAATCTATTTTCACCATATTAGAAGTTAAAACTGAGAAAACATTTAATGAGCATTTATTTATTTTAATCAACAACTAATAATTATATAATTCATAAATAGCAATTTATTATCAATGTTATCAATAGTTTGTGTTAATAAGATCATTAAAAAATAACAATGAACCTATTACATGTTAACTCAAATAACATGTTTTATAAAAACTAACAAGTTTTCCTCATACCCACCAGCTGCCAAAAAAAAAAAAAAAAAAAATCTAACTCCCTCAGAAATGAGCAAGGAGAGGGGCCCTGATTTACATTTCTGCCAATCACTTTAATGTCTTGCTTCAGAGGGTTCTCATATCTGTTCCTGCATTTAACCAGTTGCAACATCACACATCTTGTAGCCTCTTAAAAACTCCACTGTCCACTCGGGAGGAAATGAGAGCGAAAAAAGCAAACAATGCCTTAATATTATTACTAAAATAGTTTTGACCATGGGAACCCCTGAAAGGGTCTTGGCGACCCCCAGGGTTCCCTGGATCACACTTTGAGAATTGCTGCTATAGGGCCTTATTGGCTATGGTAGGAATTTTGAATTTGAATAAGAAGCAAATTGAGACTTTTAAGCAGCGTCTCCCAGGCTGGTGTTTCTTCCTAAACCCCCTCTTTGTCTGCTGCACAGGGAAAGGGCTGCAGGAGTAAGAGGGGAAGCTGGGAGATAGGCAGGGTCACTGGGGTGTTTCTCCAGGCATAAGATGGTGGCGGCTGGGAAGGGGGTGGTGGCAACTGTAGTGGAGAGAAATGAAAAAGTAGGGGAGAGATTTAGGAGGTAAAAAAGCAAAGGACCCACCCACAGGTGTCCTTAGATGTGGCTAGTGAGGAGTGAGAAGAATCAAATCAAGGAATGATCTCCAGATTCCTGGCCTCAACTGGGTAGGCAGGGCTGGGGGTGCTGTTTCCTGAGATTGGCCCAGCTGAGCCCTGGCGGTTGGGCCCAAATTCCACTTAGGGTGTCATAAGATGGAAATGTCTAGGAATGTTGACAGGCAATTAGTTCTGAGTCGAGCTCAAGGGAGAGGCTTAGACTGGTATGTAGCTTTGGGAGTGGACGGCTTTGAGGGGTATTTAAAACCGGGAGGTGCTGAGATCACTTAGAAGAGAGGAGGAGCCAAGTTGAGCCCCAGCATGAAGCAGTGGGGCTTACAGAGTGGCTCCTTCACCTGCACAGCATCACCTGTAACCTGTCAGAAATGCTGATTCTCAGGCCCCACCCCAGAGCAAGTGAATCAGAAACTCTGGGAGTGGGGTCCAGCCACCTGTGTTTTAACAAGCACCCCAGGTGACTCTGATACAGGCTCAGGTGAGGACTCTCCTCCCACAGGTTCATGCATACATCATCAGCTACCTGAAGAAGGAGATGCCCTCTGTGTTTGGGAAGGAGAACAAGAAGAAGCAACTGATCCTCAAGCTGCCCGTCATCTTTGCTAAGATTCAGCTGGAGCATCACATATCTCCAGGGGACTTTCCTGATTGCCAGAAGATGCAGGTGGGAGGCTGTCTAGGGGCGGTAATGGGAAGGTTGGCTTCTGTGAATCCCAGGATGGGGCTTGAAAAGCTGGAGGGATGAGCGGCAGATTCTGGAAAGCAGCTCCTGCAAATGGTTCTGTGGGAGCATGGTTTTATGAACTAGAATAAGGGAGTGAAGAGAAAATCCAAAATAACAGTGGCTTAATTAAGATAGAAGTTTCTTTTTTTCCTTTATTAAAGTCCCAGAAGGTGGTCCAGGGCTGGTTTGGTGCTTTATAGAACCAGGGACTCAGTCCCTTCTGTCTTTTTTCTCTTCCACACCTGGCCTCCAGTCCCAAGGAACCTCATGGTACAAAATGGCTGCAGAAGATTTAGCCATTGTGTCTGTGTTCCAGCCGGCAAAAAAGGGAGTAGGGAAAGAGAAGAGTACAATTTCCCTTGTTAAGGACATTTTCTAGAACAGTGCTGCTCAATAGTACCTTCTATGATGATGGAAATGTTCTATGTTGCACTGTTCAATGTGGTAGCCACTAGCCACATTAAAACTGAATTTCAAATTGTATTTAATTTTAACTAATTTAAAATTAAAATAATCACATGTGACTAGTGGTACCCTATTAAACAGGGTAATTCTAGAAGTTGCACATGCAGTTTGTGCTTATATCTAATTGGCTGGAACTTAATGACATGGCCACGGCTTCCATAGAACTTCCAGTTGGCTGGAACTTTGTCACATGGCCATGGCTGGCTGCAAGGGAAGCTGGGAAGTGTAGTCTTTCCTCTAGGAGGCCAGGTACCTAGGGAACATTCAGAGATTCCAGTACTGAAGGAGGGACAAATGGATATTGGGGGACTATCAGGGCTCCTTGCATGTCCAGGCCTAGGATAATTTGGATTATAAATGCATGATGTGGGTGTGGCAGCATGGGATGAAGAGAGCCACTGGAGACGGGTGGGGCAGGACTGATCAAATGAATGTTGACACGGAGGTCCAAATTCAAGCATGGCGGCAGTGGACTAGCCCCACAGCTTGAGCTTTTGTTCAGAGGTTGAGTTAGGCTGATATTCCAAGCCTATGACTTTTGAATCTGAAATGTTCCCAGCCTAGACCTGGAAATTAATGTGGTGCCATGAAATGAATCAGCCTTTGCTGCGACTCTCCTGGTGCAGGCAACTTAGAAGGGTCCATGTAAGCAGCGGCATGACCACAAACTCACCTCCACAGCTGCTCTAGCACAAAATGACTTCTTTGGGGGTCTGTCCCAGGATCCCTTAATCATCTGACCATGCCAAACCTAACCTCCAAATTGGACAGCAAGCCACTTAGCCATTACTGGGTGGTGCAGTAACAGGGGCAGGAATTGAGTTTTCTCAATCTGCAAAATGGCAGGGATGCTGGTGGGCAGGTGGGGTGCAGTGGAGGGTGGGCAGTGTTAAGGTCCGGCAGATGGGCTCTGGTAATGCTGTACCTAATGTACAAAATACTGAAATCTTTCTCCACTAGCTGGTAAAGGGCCCCCAATCTTCCTACCATTTAGTAATTCTGGGGGTAGGGGGGAAGGCCTCCAGGATCATGTTGCCCAAGTGTCTTCTGAGTGGTGGGTGTCCAAGTGGAATGGGTTGTTCAAATGCTTCTGTGCCTGTTAGTAAAGAGCTGCCACTGTGAGCTTCCCAAGTGTCCTGGTGCCACCCTGAAGCCTTAGAGCCTCAGGGATGGTGCTCTCTGACTTCTTGGTGCCCCTGTTCCCCATTACAGGAGCTACTGATGGCACACGACTTCACCAAGTTCCATTCATTGAAACCAAAGCTGCTGGAAGCCCTGGATGAGATGCTGACACATGACATTGCCAAGCTCATGCCTCTGCTGCGGCAGGAGGAACTGGAGAGTACCGAGGTGGGCGTCCAGGGTGGTGCTTTTGAGGGCACCCATATGGGCCCATTTGTGGAGCGGGGGCCCGATGAGGCCCTGGAAGATGGCGAGGAGGGCTCAGATGATGAGGCTGAATGGGTGGTAACCAAGGACAAGTCCAAATACGACGAGATCTTCTACAACCTGGCACCTGCCGATGGCAAGCTGAGTGGCTCCAAGGCCAAGACCTGGATGGTAGGTACCAAGCTCCCCAACTCAGTGCTGGGGCGCATCTGGAAGCTGAGCGATGTGGACCGCGATGGCATGCTTGATGATGAGGAGTTCGCCCTGGCCAGCCACCTCATTGAGGCCAAGCTCGAGGGCCATGGGCTGCCAGCCAACTTGCCCCGTCGCCTTGTGCCACCCTCCAAGCGGCGCCACAAGGGCTCTGCCGAGTAAGCCAGCCACTGTGCACTGGCCCTCCCTCCCACTTGTCCTGCTGTGGCTCCCCAGCTCCAGTCAGCTGCACGCATACCCCTGCCCCAGCCCACATGTGCCCTGCCTGCCCGCCCTGCCCAGTTGTAGAGACTGGGGGTGTCCTTCTCCCCCAACCATCAGAAACCCCAGTTAGAGCATTTAGTGGGGACCATGGGAGGGTCAAGGCTTCTCTGTCCTCCTTTCACACCTGTACGTTCACAAACATTTAGGCACATCACACCGGCATTAACACACACACTGGCATCCATCCATTCATCATTCATTTGGATATTTATTGAGCACCTACTGTGTGTCTGGCCCTGTTCTAGGTGCTGGGGATTACAGCAGACTACAAATATGTCTGTCCTCACAGAGTTGACAGTCTCAGGAGCTGGCACCCACACAGTCAAATGCATACTGATTCTAGGCAGGACCCTTGCCCCTCCCCATAAGTCACTGGACACTTGCTTGAAATGACTAATAGACAAACCCCTTTTTCTTTTTTTTTTGGGGGGGGGTGTGCTGGCCAATATGGGAATCTGAACCCTTGACCATGGTGTTATCAGCACCACGCTCTAACCAAGTGAGCCAACCGGCCAGCCTTAGACAAACCCCCTTTTGCCCCACTTCTTTCTGCACATCCAGGCAAGGACCCCCCACCCCATCATTTCCTCAGGTTTCAGGACCACTGGGGGCTCAGAGGGGAGACACAACCTCCTATTTCCTCAGATGGACCACTCTTCGGGCCTTTCCTCTCCTCTGGGAAAACCCCCTAATTCTGGTCACACCCATTTCTTTAATAAGGATCCTGTAGCAGGCAGAAAAGCCCCTTCTTCCATTCTTTTTTTTTTGGGTGGTTGGTGGGTAAGGGGATCTGAACCCTTGACTTCGTGTTATCAACACCATTCTAACCAAGTGAGCTAACCCACCAGCCCTCCCTTATTCCGTTCTTGCGCCTCCTAGACTGTACCCAGTTGGAAGTATTTCCGTCCTCTTCCCACCTGCCCTGGACTGAAATGCCCAGCTTGCCCCTGGCACACGCCCCCTTCCCACAGCCTCCCCACAGCTGGTGGTCCAAATTTTAGGACTGCTAGGGCACAGCCTCTCATCAATCCATATATAAGTGGAGCCTTTCCCAGATATAAAGGCCCCAGAGCTTAATTTTAGTCCCCTTTTCAGGGAAGTCGGGGGGGGGAGGGGGTTCTTGGTGCTACAGCCCTCCCCCACCTCCCTAAAGGGACACTTTCCCAGATATAAAGGCCCCAGAGCTTAATTTTAGTCCCCTTTTCAGGGAAGTCGGGGGGAGAGGGGGTTCTTGGTGCTACAGCCCTCCCCCACCTCCCTAAAGGGACACCCCCCACCACACCTTTTCCTGCCTTCACTACATGTTAGTGCTTGACCCTGGTAGGGACCCATAGAAAAGATGGGAAGAGCAAAGAAAGGCGGAGACGATGCCCCCTCTAGGCTGCTCGCTGGGATTCCCATGGCCACCATCGATCTCCACCTCATGCCTGGGAGGGGGCTGGGAATGGAATAATGTCCCCACAGAGCGAATAAAGCCGAGGCTTCTTCCTATGCTGCGGTCGGGCTGTCTCGGGATGGGGACTGCCACTCCTCAGGAGGTGGGGGCGGGGGGAGTCCCCTCCAAGCTCTCAGGGGCGGGGAGGAGTCCGTGACTCAACGCAGCGGAGCCTGTTGACTCAGGCCCGGGCTGGGGGCCAGGACAGCATATTTTCCATAGAAAAGTTACTGTGGGGCTGTTCCTCCGGGACACCCCTCCCTGCCACCTCTGGCCGCCGGGGCCTGGGAACCAAGCCCTGGGGCGTGGGGCGGTATGTGTGCGAGCGTGGGCACAGCGCGGCCTCCCACCTGCGCCCTGCCCGCCAGCGTGCGCTCACACTGCCGGGTACACGACTCCTAACACGCGGCGCCAGGGACGAGCGCGCTCTTTGACGGGGAGGAGGCGAGCTGCGGACAAGGACCACGGTGACACGAGCGCGCGCTCACCTGCCTTCTGGAGAGGGGGAACTCTGGGCTTGCGCTAGGCAGCCCACCCCACGCGCGCGGCCTCGGGGACACAACCGGGGCCACACCCGCGGCGCCCCGGGACACGCTGGCGGCGAGCTCTTCCCGCCCACGCGCGCCCGGTTTCGCGGCTCCCGGCGCCCTCTGGCGGACACTCGGAAGCTGGGCCGGCGGGAGGCTGAAACGCCTCTCCGAGGTGGTCGTTGCTGGGGTCTACGGGAACACCATCCCGGGTTTGTCACCTTCCCAACACTCTGCACAGGATCTAGCTGGGTTCCGCTGTGTGACCCCCCCACACCGCGAGGCACCTCCCCTTTCTGCGCCTTTTTCCTTTTTCTAAGAATGGCCTTTGTGAGGCTCCGAATCCCTTTGATGGTTGCCAAGGACCAAGAGCCTCTGAGCTTTCTTCTTTATTTGTAAATAGCAAAGATTAACTGATTCTAAGATGAAGTTTCAGGGGGCGAGGCAGTAACAAATGCTAACACTCAGATACCAGGCACAGCCTTAAGCACTTACATATATCACCTCGTTTAATCATCAGAACACGCTATGAGGCAGGAGTACCATTATCATCCCCACTTTACAGATGAGGAAACTGAGGCACGGCGAAGTAGCTTGCCCAAGGTGAATGATTCTGAGTCAGCGCTTCTAGGGTCCTGATCATGTACATTTCTGACATTCCTCGAATATAACGTTCTGTGCTTCCAACTTGGACATTCCTAAAGTTCTTTGATTTCCAAGATTCTAGGACTGCAACATTGAAAAGCCCAAAGTTCTGAGATTGGAAAGTTTCTTGTACCGAGTCTGCCACTGACGCTTCTGACTTTTAAGAAACCGAGATTAAAAAATAATCGTCAGCTTCAGCAAAGACCCCGGGAGGCCGGGAAAGGTGTTTTAGTTAGGGCAGGAGCGAAGAACCTCCAACACCTGCACCTCACACCGCTAGGATTCTGCCGATCTCCGCAAAGACGGAGATAGGGAGGAGCCATTTACCCTTTACCAAGATGGCCGCCCCGGCCACTACCCCATCCGCCACTTTACCAAGATGGCCGCCTCCGGAAGTATGAAACGGGTGGGAATGTAAGATCTGCGCGCGCACGCCCCAAACCGGATTTCCGGGGCGCCGGTAGAGGAATTCTTCCTTTGACAAGATGGCGGCGGGAAGTAGCATCGGTGGTGGGAGGCACTGCTCGAAAAGCGATGTCAATTCTGGCTTCCTGGGTCTGCGGCCCACTTCAGTGGACCCGGCGCTCAGGCGGCGGCGGCGAGGCCCAAGAAATAAGAAGCGGGGCTGGAGGCGGCTCGCACAGGAGCCGCTGGGACTGGAGGTCGATCAGTTCCTGGAGGACGTGCGGCTGCAGGAGCGCACGAGCGGGTGCGTGGGGCGGGACTTCCCGGGAGCTGGGCCACGTTGTGCGGGGCCAAGTGCGAGGCGGGGTACCTGGAGGTCTTCCGGGAGGCTGGCGACCCCTGTTCCGAGCACCGCCCGGGAAACAGAGGATGGGCTGGGGGCTCGGGGTGGGAAGCTAGGGTACTTGGTGGAGTTACCAGGCTTAGCAACACAGGTGATTCTTGTGTTCTGTTCTTTTGAAATAATTACATCTCCACAGCCCAATGAGGGAGATATAATGGTCTCGTTTTGGAGGCACGGAGGAGTGAAGTCTCTTGTGTGAGGTCTCACAGTACATGGAGTGGTACAATTCTGTCCTAGTATGTTTTGTTCTAGAGTTATTGCTTTTAACTCTAATGGTTAACAGTTGCTTTAGAAGTAAAAAGCAGAGAATGCAGTGCTGAGAATTAGATGTCCTGGATCTCCCAAGTCCAGCTCTTTGGCCTTCCCTGGGCCTCTGTTTCACCTGAGTGCCTGCTCTCTTTCTCATTCTGTGGCCGTTCCCCTGCTGTGGCTGGGAGCCCCTCATGTGCAGGGCTGTGGGTGTGACTCCCTCTGTGTCCCTGGCACAGGGCCTGCCTCCTGCTGGCCCAGGACATGGGGGTATTGGAGGCCAGGGCTTGGGCACCTTTGGTCCTACCCTTGGGGGCCTCTTTCCTTGTGTGGGAGTCCGGGTCAGCCTTGGGACCTCCAAGGCTATGCTGAGATGACTTAGAATGGCAGGTCTGATGGCTCCAGTGGAGCTGAAATGGAGGGCTGTCGGGGCTTGATCTTTGGTAGTGGGGAGGCCTGAGGCCTTGAGTCCTTTCTCTGACTCTCAGACCTGAAGAAGAAGAGGACCAAAGTCCAGAAGAAGTCATTGCTTCTCAAGAAACCCCTTCGGGTTGACCTCATCCTTGAGAACACATCCAAGATCCCTGCCCCCAAAGAGTGAGTTGTAACATGAGAATGACAACTGAAACAGTCCCAGACTGCTATTTCCTGCCAGACCTTGGCCCTAAAGGGTTTCCTGCGTGTGTGTGTGTATGTGAGAGAGAGAATGATAAGTGAGGGTCATGGGGTATGTGTGTATGTGTCAGATTTGGGCTTTGAAGATTGTATCGGAGGGAGTGAGATTGGTACCCTGGGTGTCAGGCCAAGGCAGGTGAGAATGGGTCTGGCTCAAGCTGGAGACTCTGGGGATGGAGAGGAAGCCTGGGCCGGGGACAGCCCTGGGGAGAGGATATCTATGAAGGGATGGTGAGGAGTACCTTCTGGAGAGGAGGTACTAGAGATGGAACTGCATGAATGGTGGGGGTGAGCCTGACTGGGAGGAGGCCTCGCCACTTCTCAGGCTGTTACCTCACCCACTGCACTCCTGCTGCCTCTCCCCTATGCAGCATCCTTGCCCACCAGGTCCCCAACGCCAAGAAACTCAGGCGGAAGGAACAGCTATGGGAGAAGCTGGTGAAACAGGGCGAGCTGCCCCGGGAGGTGCGCAGGGCACAGGCCCGGCTCCTCAGCCCTTCCACGGCCAAGCCCAAGACTGGGACCCAGGACACTGTTGAGCGACCCTTCTATGACCTCTGGGCCCCGGACAGTGAGTGATCTGCCATTGCCTATGTACAGGGACAGGACTGCCATGCAGTCGTGCGTTGTGCACTGCCCAAGAGGACTGTGTCTAAGGGGGTGCCCTGTGGGTGTTGCTGTGATGGTCTTCTGTCAGGAAGTCGAGCGTCCTGAAGTGGTGCCCTTTTCCCATCTGTGTTCCGTTTTCCTGAGTTGTAGGGGCTCCTGCCCTCAGCCTTGGGTCTCTTCCACTTTCTGAATCCTGTCTAAACACAGTTTTGGGGCCGGCCTGTGGCTCACTCGGGAGAGTGCGGTGCTGATAACACCAAGGCCGCGGGTTCGGATCCTATATAGGGATGGCCGGTTCGCTCACTGGCTGATCGTGGTGCTGACAACACCAAGTCAAGGGTTAAGATCCCCTTACCGGTCATCTTTAAAAAAAAAAATAAACACAGTTTTGTCTGGTATTTCAGGCCCCTCAGGGTCTGAGAATCAGTCCTTCCCTCACCTGGGCTTCAGTGCCATTTTTTGGAATGAGGAGGGATTGGAGGGAGTCCCTTGGAGAAGTGACCCTTTTCCACTGTGGAAAGACCCCAGCAGCTGCCCCTCACTGTCTCCACAGACCCTCTGGACATGCCATTGGTTGGCCAGGATGAGTTTTTCCTGGAGCAGACTAAGAGGAAAGGAGTGAAGGTGAGATGTATGGGCAGGGCAGCCCGGTGATGGGAGGCCTGAGGAGGGGGGCAGGGAGCCGTGGGAGCTGCTCAGTCTCAGCCTGTCCATCCTGGTGACAGAGAACCCACACACTGCAGCCAGGTGGCCCAGGTTCCAGTCTCAGCTCTGGTGCTGACTGATCTTGGGAAGGTGGCCTAACCTCTCTGTGCCTCTGTTCCTTCCACTGTAACATGAGAATGACAACTGAAACAGTTGAAGACAGTGCCCAGCGTGTGATGTAAGTGTTGTCTGTTTCAGTTTCTGATGTGTAGGCTTCTTCCTCTTGAGTGGCTAGCCCCTAGTGCCTTAGAACCCAGGTGCCTCAGAATCTCTGGGGTCCAGCTTCATTCATGTAACAAGGAATAAGGATCTCCCTGCCAGGCACTGGGTGTGGTGGAGAGCAAAGCAGGGGTGTGTGTGTTGGGGGGCAGGTTTTGTCCTTGGAAATAAACATGTCAGCATGTTGGGCTTCGGTTGGTGCCGGGAAGGAGAGAATGGGGCAGTGGCAGGTCAGCAGAACCTGCTTTACAGAGGCTAGGGAAGCTGTCGCTGGCAAGAACGAGGTACTGATGGGGTTAGAGACCTGGGGAGGTGTGTGAGAGGTCAGAGGGAAGAGCCTCCAGGCAGTGAGCACAGCAAATGTAAAGTGTGAGCCAGGTCCCGGCATGTTGCAGGAGCTGCCAGAGGCGGGTGCGGTTGGGGGGCAGTGCAGCCAGATTGCAGGCTTTATTCTGAGTGAGGCAAGGTAGGGGTGGGGGAGCCACCAGTGGGTGTTTGGCACAGGAGAGTGGTGGCATCCAGGTGGCTGCTTAAGGTTGGACTGTGGTGGGCAGGTGTACAGGGCCAGAGATCCCAGGAGCTAAGGGCGTGAGGGTGGCGTGAGGCGGAGCCAGCATGGACCAGGGCTAGTTGTGACCCAGCACAAAGTCCCAGGGCAGAAGCATCAGGACTCACAGGTGGTTGGGTGTGCGGAGAGCTTGGGGGGCATCCAGGTGACTGACAAGGCCTTTGCTAGGGTAGAGGCTGGACAGGGATGAAGGAAGTCTGGAAGTGGAGTGTGCACTGAATCACCCTGGGGAGTCTCGTCAAAATGCAGATTCTGATTAGAAGTTCCTGGGTGACCTGGGATTTTGTATTTCTTACAAGCTCCCCTGGGAGTTCTCAGGCCACACTGAGCAGCAAGACTCTAGAAAGTGTTTGTCAGCCATGTCCTGCTCTGATAGACCACAAACTCATAGCCACCGTGGTACCTTGCTGTAGATTTCAGACTGACAGACTGCGGTGACTGAAATCAAGACCCACTTCACCTTATGTTTTTGTAGGTGTCACCCCTTCCCCACAGGTGGGGGGGTCACCATGTGGACTCTTAAAAAGAAAGGCAGGCAGAGCTGCTGCTGACAGGGAACTTGCTCACCCTGGGGTGCCGCTCTTTGGGGTGCTAAGTGTCTGTTGCTTGAGACACTAATTTCACAGGGCACCCCATTCACAGGCTTCAAGGTGGTGGGCCATGCAGCCAGCCAGTGTGCATCCCCTCCATGACCTCTGCCATTTCCCAAGCCAAGAGTTCCAGCACTGCAGTTTGTGGGAACTTGAATCACAGGGCTCCTGGGCTGTGTTAGTTCATTTGTGTTGCTACAACAAAGTACCTGGGACTGGGTAATGTACAAATGATGGAGATTTATTTCTCACAGTTCTGGAAGCTGGAAGTCCAAGATCAAGGCACTAGCAGTTTCAATGTCTGGTTGAGGGTTGGGTCTCTACTTCCCCAGTGACGCCTTGAACGCTGTGTCCTGACATGGCAGAAGGGCCAGAGGGGCTGACTCTCTGTGAAGCCTCTTTTATAAGGCATTGATCCTATTAATGAGGGCGGAGCCCTCATGGCCTAATCATCTTCTAAAGGCTCCACTTCTTAATATTATCACATTGGCCATTAAATTGCAACATACAAATTGTGGGTGACACATTCAGACCATAGCATTATCCTTACCCTGCCTTGGCCTTATCTTCCTCCAGCGGCCACCGCATCTGCATACCAAGCCCTCCCAGGCACCTGCTGTGGAGGTGACGCCTGCTGGGGCCTCCTACAACCCATCCTTTGAAGACCACCAGGTACATAGCTGTGGTGAGGCCTCTCTGCTTAGTCAAACTGCCCTCACCAGGTGCTTCTTTGCTGGTCCTGTGCTAGGGGCCTGTGGGGATTCAAGTGGTCAAGATAGCCCTGGGCCTGTTGTCAGGGGGCCTGTGGTCCAGTGGGGGAGACAGACCTGTTCCCAGACAGTGATTGAAGCTGGGAGCCCAGCCTGGGGGTTCAGGGACGCGCTCATCGGAGGAGGGGATGTCTGAGCCAAGGTGGAGGCTGAGTAGGGGGTTGCTGTGGGAAGAGGGGAATGGATTTGGATCTCCTCACCCCCACCTCTGCCCCCTCACAGACCTTGCTCATGGCGGCCCATGAGGTTGAGCTTCAGCGGCAGAAGGAGTCAGAAAAACTGGAGCGGCAGCTGGCCATGCCCATTGGGGAGCAGATGGCCACCCAGGTGAGCCCCACACCTGCCATTCCACACACCCCCCACCCCTGCCCTGCCTGCCTGGTGCCTAGCCCCTGACCCTGTTCCCCTCTCCCCCACCACAGGAGTCTGTGTTCCAGGAGATGTGTGAAGGGCTTCTGGAGGAGTCGGATGGGGAGGGGGAGCCGGGCCAGGGTGAGGGGCCTGAGGGTGAGGAGCCTGAGGCCGGAGGAGCCAAGGCATCGTTGGCACCTGCCCGCCTTGCCCCTGCGGAGAAGAAGACAGAGCAGCAGCGGCGGCGGGAGAAGGCTGCCCGCATGCTGGTGAGCCCTGTAGGCTGGGGTTGCACTCCCTGCACCCGCAGCCTGCCTGCTGGGGTTCCTCTGCTCTCTTTCTCCTGCCTTCAGCCCGCTTTCTCTCGTGTCCACAGCCTGCCTTCTCTAAACCCCTTCTCTGAGCTGCTTTGTCAGCTAAGACCTACTTCCCAGCACCTTCCAGGCTCCACTCTGGGCTCAGGGATACGGTTGGGAGCGCACTTGGTGAGGAGTGGGTAGTGGGGAGATTCGTGAACTGCAGACAGAGAAACAGATAATGGAGATAGTTTCAGAAAACTGCTCTGAAGGCACTAAGGCAGCTGGTGTGATGTGACCGGTCATTGGTGGTCAGGAAAAGCTTCCTGGGGAAGGTGGGTTTAGAGGGCCCCTGTGTGGGGAGAGCCACCCGAAGGCCAGGTGGTGCACGGCTGAGCCCAGACCCCTCTCTTTCCCGGCAGCGGGCACAGCAGGCCGTGGTGCGGGCTGCCCGGCTGCGGCACCAGGAGCTCTTTAGGCTGCGTGGGATCAAGGCCCAGCTGGTGCACAGATGTAGGTCCCAGAACCTTCATCTCCCCTAGAGCCTGGTGAGAGAACCCAGGGTCTGTCAGAGGGCCGTCCACTGGCTGAATCGTGACCCGGCCAACAGTGGCAAAGTTGGCAGCCTTACGAGATGGTGTAGATCCTAGAAAGAAAATCAGCAGAGAGGACAGGGCTTTTGGGCTGACTGGATGTGTGAGAGGTTAGGGAGAGGTGAGCTCGAGATCCACACACGGATTTCTGACATGGAGACGAGCCCACTGCTTCCCGCCGCTGGTGACTGAGGAGCAGCTCTTGCCACGTGGACAGTGGGAGAGGCCGCAGTGGCAGCAGCTGTCGTCCTCTGAGCACCTGCTGTGATTTTACGCAGATGGATTGAATTGTTGAACCCACAGGACAGCCCATTAAGGAGGGCTGTGATTATTCCCATCTTAGCAGTGAGGAAACTGAGGCACGTGAAATAAGGTTACTTTTTCTCCCCTCCCCTACACCTAGTTTTTAAGTTTTTTTAAAACCTTTATTCTATAAGACATTAAGAACTATGTTCTCATTGTAAGTTATTGCCAAACGTGACTGTCACCCTTGGTCTTTGCCCTCCGTTCAGATCCACTCCCCACTTTTCGGTGCAGGTTCCTGTCACTGCAGTTTGGTGTGAATGATTGTGTTCCCTGTGTAATTCTGTTAAATTACGCGTCCATGTGAAAATAGGACTGTTTTGATACTTCTGTTTCTTAGGCTTATACTGTGCGTGGTTCTCCAGCTCACTGTTTAGTGCATCTTGGAGCTCTTTCTGTGTCTGTACAGCTTCCTCACTCTTCTCCACAGCCGTGTGGAGTTCCATCCTGGGTGTGTCATGTTACTTACCCAGACCAGTGTTTCTCCTCATGAAGCTGGAATGAACATGTTTTTCCACATGCTTTTTCACATGAGTCTGTAGAGTAAGTACCTGAAAGTGAGTCTCTGGGCTAAAGGACACACATCTGTACCAGGCCATTTGATGGCTTCCGCCAAATTGCTCTCTGTATCGGTTGTACTGATTTTTACTCTGACAGCATAGGAGCCCACCTGTTTCCTCGTAGCTTTTGCTACTGTGATCTCACTGTTTCTGTTTTGTTGTGCCTGGTTACCAACGAGGTTGAGCATCTCCTTATATAACTATTTGCCATTTGTGTTCCTCTTCTGTGACGGTTCAAACCTTTTGACCATTTTACTCCTGGGCGTTTATTTGTAGTTGGAGAGAGCCAAGTGAGAGGCCCCTGGGGCTGCCCTGTTGGGGTTAGGGCGTCTGGAATGCACCCCTGGTGCTTGGCGGGGTCACTGGTCACTGACCGCTCCCTTGTCCCTTCTGTAGGTTCAAGCGCAAGTACAAAGTGAAGCTTGTGGAGAAGCGGGCGTTCCGTGAGATCCAGTGAGTGGGGCTCCCCATCCGCTTCCATGCCTAACTGGTCTGGCTGCGACAGAAACAGGGCTCTAACTTGCTTACACAAAAAGAAAGCAACGGTTCTCCCTCCCCGTGGTATCCTCAGGACCCCAGGGCCCTTCCCAAACCCGACAACTGCGGTTAGGGGGTGAGCAGCACTCCCTCTGCCAGGCCCAGAAGAGGGTCAGCCCACCAGAGGCACCCGAATGCAGAATGGGGGCGGGGAGTGTCCCCAAAGGGAAATCGAAGGGCTAAAACCAGAAGGAGGGGTGTCAAGATGGAAAGGACACGGGCACCCACCCCCTCCTCCATCCTTAGCCCCTCTTCTTCTGTCCCCAGGCTATAGTCACTGCTGGATGCCGGAGCCCCTAACTTTCAATAAAGCACTTTCTGACAGCTTAGGCTTTGTGTATGACTTACCTCCCTCCTACAGGCAGCTGCTCTCTCCATGAAGTTTCTCTGGTGCACAGATGTAGGTCCCAGAACCTTCATCTCCCCTAGAGCCTGGTGAGAGAACCCAGGGTCTGTCAGAGGGCCGTCCACTGGCTGAATCGTGACCCGGCCAACAGTGGCAAAGTTGGCAGCCTTACGAGATGGTGTAGATCCTAGAAAGAAAATCAGCAGAGAGGACAGGGCTTTTGGGCTGACTGGATGTGTGAGAGGTTAGGGAGAGGTGAGCTCGAGATCCACACACGGATTTCTGACATGGAGGCGAGCCCACTGCTTCCCGCCGCTGGTGACTGAGGAGCAGCTCTTGCCACGTGGACAGCGGGAGAGGCCGCAGTGGCAGCAGCTGTCGTCTGCTGAGCACCTGCTGTGATTTTACGCAGATGGATTGAATTGTTGAACCCACAGGACAGCCCATTAAGGAGGGCTGTGATTATTCCCATC